TACACGTGACCGAACGGACGTCTAGGTTGGTTAGTCGTTCGTTCGTACGAAGACGAAGACGTAGTAGAGAGTAGGTGTAGTAGTAGTACGTAGTTCGTGTAGTAGGTAGTATATATATATATATATATATATATATAGAGAGAGAGAGAGAGAGAGAGTTTCTTAAGGGTTTCGAGTAAAGAATGAACTGGGGGTTTCGCAGAGAAATGGAAAAGGTACCTTGAGGATTTTGCTGAGTGTGAGAGTAAAAAATGGAAAATGTCTCTCTCTTCTCCAGTAAAGCATATTCTCGCTCATTCCCTGAGCTTTTTACTTGATTCTCAACCCTCTGTTTCTGGTCTTTGTACAAGCCAGAGTGAAACATTGAATTCTATGCAATATGAGGATCCTGGCCATGGATTGCAAAATTGCAGCTGGGACTTGAAGGCCATGGCTGCTAAAATAGGGGATTATGTTTTTGCAGGGGGTGAGAAACTCAAGTAACAGGTTTTCGGATTATTTTAAGAACGGAGGAGTTTATTGATGGAGAGAGAGTCACACAAGTGGGTTGGGTGGACTGCAGAGAAAGCGAGAGAGATTCTGTAGGTTCTTGTTGGGTTCGGTTTGGGTGAGTCCTGGAGCATTAATGGTTGAGCAAGTTTAAGTAAGAAAAAAAGAGGCAGGGACTATTTTTAGATAAGTTGTGGTTTTGGAGTGAGTTTGCAAATGGACTGTCAATTCATCACACATTCCACAAAGCCAACTACTTTTGACTTCATTTTCTGCAAACAAATCAATCGCTAACATGCAGCAAAGCATAGTTTGATGGCGAATTGAAGTGCACCCTAAAACTTGGCCAAGTAGACTTGGTAGATAAATTAACCAACCAAGGGCAGGAAGATTTTTTCTTTATGCAATTTTATAATAAGGGCAAGAGTAGCTTCTGTACATATATAAGACAAGCAACCAAATACATACACTTGGATTATACTTTTAGTTTATGAGAATATGCCAGAAAGAAGAGAAAGATCAAACCTTGCTTTTGTCAATTTCACTGGCCTTTTGCTTCATCTTATCTTTGGTATCATTGATTTTGCTCTGCCTGACCAGAAGATGTAACTTCTCTTCATGACTCTCCATTTCACAGTATTTCGTGACCAGTGGAACAGTCAAATTCTCCTTGTGTCCAAGGCATATGACTTCATCAAAGGCAAAAATCAGCTCAAATGCCATCTTGCAAATCCCCTCTTCATCCAAAGAAGGAGAATACTCAGGTACCTTATATTTGATAGATTCATGGGCATAAGCATTAGAAACCAGAAAATTAATTAGTCACAAACATGAAAAGCAAAGTGAAAAGACAAGGAAAAGGAAGTACCAACTTTGACAAAAGCCTCAAGGTTTCAAGATCTTCTAGAATATTACTCTGCTTGTTTGTGACCAGAAGCAAATATAAGGACTCAATAGGCTGATAAACATAGCGGACATTCTCAGTCTCTACATATGTGTGTTGTTTCTCTATGCCGACCAACTTGGGGAATGCTGAGAGTAGTCCCTCTACTCTGATGCGAGTCATGTCCACAAACTGTCTTGATACCAAGGCTGCCAAATAACGAACGATTCAACACAGAGACTGAAAAGAAAACTACAGAAGATTGTACAGAAGAAAATGTCAAAAAGGACGAGCACTTAAAGAGTCAAAGTTCGAAAAAGCTGCAAAGCCGTAGTGAGAGAACAGTGGTTCTTTTCACAAAGGAGAGCAATAAGGCTTTCTAAACCCCAAAAAAAAAGAGCAAAAATTGAATCACACATATAGTAATCAATAAAGTGAAATGTATTAATCAGAAATTGAAAACTTTATGAAGAAGTGTGGTCTATCATTAGTGATAATGGTCATGAACAATGGTTCTATTTCTTCTGAGAAAATAGAATAATGAGGCTTTCTAAACCCAAAAGAAGAGCAACAAAAACTCACACTTATAAGAGTCAATAAATTGCAAAGTATTAATGAGAATTTGAAAATGATATGAAGAAGTATCGTTTAACATTAGTGATAATGGTCCCTAAAATCGCACCTTTGCCCGTTTTGGTTATTATGGAAGCTGCAAGAACCACCTATTACAACAACAAATAGGAACATAAATTAATAATTGGTGCAAATGGAGTTTATATGCTATTCCAATAATAAACTTGCGCCATCATAATAGTAAACAAAACCATCCTTGCTCAAACTCTTGAAAGAGAATAGCAAGGACAGCAGAAACCAGTAATCAAAAAAAAAGAAAATAAGGTATCTAATCACCATTTTGAAGATTGCCCAGAGACAGAATGGATGTGTTGCAGTTACAAAGAGTTCAACTATTATAGCTAGCTTACGATGACCTGAGAGCACAGATGAACTTGAGTTTTTCATGAACATATGAGAGTTGAGCAATTTATACATGCAAATACCATTGTATATAAAGCAACAACTGGAATGAGTGCATGCATCAGCAAGTCAGTAACATTTCATATATAAGCCAGATACTCCGATTAGAGTAGTATGGAATGAAGAAAAAAAAGGAGACAACATATCACTATAGGCAAAAGCTATCCTTACCAACAAAAACTTTTGTAAATAAAGAAAAAAAAGAAGAAAGTAGCATATCAAGGGAAAAAAACTAGCATATCCAAGTAGGGTGGGGTCTAATCCGACCCGCTCGGACACAACTGGACCCGACCCAAAACTTCAAAACTCAAAAAGTATCTGAAAATTACAAAAAATATTAAAAATTACCTTAAAACAATATAAAAAATTATTTTGAGCATTGAACCATGTAATTTAAATCCAATTCAACCATGTAAAACCAATACAAAATTACAAAAAAAAAAAAAGGAACTTAAGAGAAAACATTTCGATCATTCAACCATCTAACAGCAAATCTAAAACAAAATTACACAAAATAACCATTTCCTGATTATTCTTTCAATTAATGGTAACCGATTCATCATTTCCTGATTATTTTTAATTTTACCTGATTACTTATTTTTTTAAATTGTTAACTAATTTAAATGTACCTTCTCTTTTTTACATAGCAATCCCTATCCAAGTGGAAGACTGATGAGATAGAGGACATTCATCATCTACTGTTTCATCATTCACAAAGATATGTGAAAAGAAACAAAAAAGACCCATCATGTACTAATTCAAATAACATAAACCAATATTACTGCAATTACGCCAAAAAAATAAAGTATAAACTACAAGATATCCAGTCTTCATTAGATGCAATATACTAGGGTTTTAAACCCGGAGATCTAGATCAGGAATTTCCGATCTGGACTGGATTCAGCGGGTGGACGATTCTGGTCTTCCTCTTCCCCTTCCCTGCCGGAATCACCCGATACCTATTTTATATTAATTTTTTTTCTCACTTTCAACTGATCCAGCCGATCTGAAACGGAAAAGTGAGCGAGTATTCCAAAACCCGCTTCCGGGTTTTAAAACACTGCAATATATCAAAGACAGTTCACTAGAAATTTCCAAAGATCAAGGAATTCAGTGGATGGATAAACAAGGGCGAAAGGGCTGAAAATTCGGGGTTTCATTGACGAGAAAGAAAAGGAGGTTGGACTAAGAACTTGAGAGTGATTAATCGAAAATCATACCTCTTGAAATTAGGGTTCGGTTTTCTGTTTCCTGGTAATGGAACGGAGAGAGAGAGAGAGAGAGAGAGAGAGAGAACAGGGACTCTACCTTCCGTGGAGTGGTGGTTCGAAACAGCTGGGGTGAATGGAGGGGAATCGGGCAATGGGTCGAGATTTCAATTTTGCCAAAACAATTTATGCTTTCGCGGGAGCAAGCTTTCCATTTACTCCTTTTAGTAAAAACCAACATTAGAGTGAATATGAGAACCAAAAATTGTGGATGCAATTGTAAATTAGCCTCATTCATTTTATCTCAACTATTTCGAATCCGCTATATGAATCAATTTTTTTTATTTTTTTTTTTGGGGGTAAAATTACCCCTTCTATTTCTACGTCAATAGTGCACATGGTAAAACCACCTAACGTTACTTCATAGGGGTTGCAATGGACCCTGATCCAACTCGAGACCCGAGGAGTGGACCCGATCTGGGTCTAGGTATGGGTCCAAAAATTGGACACTGTGGGTCGGGTCCAGGTCCGGGTCTGGGTCAGATAATATTTTCGAGTCCCAAATTATGAAATATATTTAAATATAATTAAATACATAGATATTTTAATTTTTGGATGAGGTCTTGTAGGATCTAGATCCCACACTATATTTTCAAGTCTAGGTCCAGGTCCGGTGATTTCAAGTTTAGGTCCCATATTATTTTTTGGGTTGGACCATGACCTGACTCAACCCACTGCCACCCCTACCACATCCTATCATCTTATTGCTTATTAGGGCTACCCCTAACTTTTTTTAGATGTATTCATTCTAAATTTCATGCTTTTTTATCTTCTCACTCTATCATTTCAACATCCTCAATAAGAAAAGAAAAATAAATCATTGTCTACATACTTGAAAAAACTAAAGTATCATTGTTGAATAGAGTTCATCTATTTTTTTGATGGTGATATATATGCACTAGAAAACTCAAAATTTCAATTTTTTTATCTTTTGAAAATAATCATCCGATGTTTTTAGGTGATTCTCAAAATTTGAAATTGAAAAAATCCTCCCAAGCCAATCTTCTAAGGGAGTAAATGCATAATAAGAATATAGTATATTGTTGCTTAGATCATCTGACCATTTCTATGCGGCCAAGCCCGCATATGTAGAAATGCAGGCCTCTTAATAAATCTATTTATGAGATGGATTTTAAGACTTGATTTTTAAGGATATGTAATCTATAACATGGATAGTAATCTATAACATGGATATCATGAATATGAAAAAAAGAAATAAATTGTAAAAAATAATAAAAATAATTTTAGTAAGAAAACATTTGGACGGTTAGTATTCATTGTTTTTAGATGAAACAACTACTTGCATTGCATCCATCTTTAAGATGGATGCTTTACACTTTTTGGACCGTATATGTAAAAATGCGGTCCAACCCGTATGAAACATTTTTTTTTTTTTTGGGACTTTGGAGGTCTAGTGAAATTTTAGGGTTTTGAATTAGAAGTTTTATATTGTTGATTTTAAGAGAAATTTTTGGTAAATTGTTTTATGCAGGCAGACTTGCATGTCTGCATAAAACATATACCGTCCAACTTAGTTGGACGGTGTTCACGAATCATCATCAAAATTATATGGTATGCTTTGTATAGAGCTGAGGCTCTAAACAATCAAAGTAAAGTGCACCTTCAAATAGTATCCAAATATGGTGTTTAAATACTAAAAATCTTTGTGACGGCTTGAAAATTTATTTTCATCTCTAATTATAAAATTTAAAACTTCAAAAGTAGTTTAAATCAAGCAAATCTATGAACACATGAAAATCTTGAAAATTGACGGTTCGGAAGTGCATTATTTCTAATATTTGAAATCCATTTTTTCTCATGTACATACATCATGACGTCGAGATGATCAATTTGAGGATTTTTGAGCTTCAAAATAACCTCTTTTAGTGATTTTTTGAGGTCTGTCCTAAATTGATTGTTTAGAGCCTTGGCCTTATATAAAATTTTTCAAAATTATATAGGAATATGTTTATAATTTAAAAAAAAAACTACAAATAACCCCAAAAATAGCCAAAAAAAAATATAACATTTATGAATTTATTTTTATTTTTAATTTACCTAGTTTGTACACTACTATTTTTTTTTCTTTTTTTTAGTGAGTCAGTAGGGAGAAGGCCCCTACCCTTGGTAAGAATTGAGCCTAGGATGTAGTGTTGCAAATCGTCAAGCCCTAACCAAATAAGCATGGGTTCTTTTCATTAATTTGAACACTACTACATAGCTCGGCAGGTGCCAAGTCCATCTTTCGCCCGAGTCCAAGTCAACTTGGCCCTAAACACTAGTTAGAAAGGATAGCGTATTTTAGGATATAACATAGAGCAATGATTTCATGCAATGGGTGTATCATAATAGAATGCAACCACATTAAAAAACCATGTTAGAAATATTTGTTTGACACAATTTTTTAGATGTATACTCTTTTCATTCTAAAGAATAATCACGAAAAATAAAGTTTAGGAAAAAACACCCTAAAAAGTGTTTTTCTAGCCCAATTATATAAGCCATCTATTTTAGTGAGAAGGTTAGATATAGGCCTCAAAAGATTTTTTTTATTCCCAAAATTTTTATATAGTTTTATCATCATTAAATTAACAATGCTAAAAGCGAAGAAAGTGATTTTGAATTTGTCAAGGCCTAGATCTTGAAATTTACCAAATGGACAGTCGAGATTCATTGTTGGAGGGTATTATTTTTTACCATATCTAGGGTACAAATTGATTTTTTTTTCATAAGATTGATTATGAGGATGAAGAGAATGGGTGTGCAAAATTTGGAGTCATACAAATGCCGAAAACATGGTTTCTAGAAGTGTGGTTGCATTATACTATAATACAACCGTACGCACAAGAGAGGCCTAGGACTGTTGATGGGTGATGGTTCTCTATTGTAAAGATCAATATGTTTTAGGCTAGCAAGCTGCTAATAGGGGTGGCAACCGTCCGGCCGGCAACCCATAAAATATATATTTAAATATATTTAATTATCATGTTAAAGGGGATGATTTCATGCAACGGTTGTGTAGTAATATAATGCAACTACACTTCTAGAAAACCATATTTAATACATTTGTATGACCCCAAATTTTGCACACACACTTCCTTCATCCCAATAATAAAATACCAAAAAAAATAAAATTTAATTTGCACCTGGACATAGTCATGAGTGCCGTCCCACAATGAATATCCACCATCTATTTGGTGATTTTCAAGATCTAGACCATTACAAATTCAAAATCAAAATTTTATTTTTTACCATTATTAATCTAATGATACTAAAGCAATCTACAAATTTTGGAAAAAAAAAAAATTCTTCTAAGGCCTTGATCTAAGCATCTCATTAAAATGGACGGCCTATATTAGTTGCGCTCAAAAAACATATTTTGGGGTGTATTTTCAATTTTTTTTTTTTTGTGATTGTTCATTAGATTGAAAAAAAATGTATATATAAATTTTGGGGTTAAACAAATAGGTTTAACATAGCTTTTGAAGGTTGTTGCATTATATTACTATACAACCGTTGCATGAAATCACTCATCTATGTTAAATATATACATATATGTATTATTTAAATTTTATATATATATATATATATATAAAGGGTGTGGTTTCTATAAGGTTGCAACCTTAAACAATCCAATTAAGGCGGACCTCCAAATTTTATCATAACATGTAGTTTTGGTAAAAAACAATTCTTAGGACTATCTCAAAATCTATTTTCACATCTAATTACAAAAATTTAAATTTCAAAAATAGTTAAAATCAAGTAGATCTATAAATATATAAAAATATTGAAAATGGACGGTCTAAATAATGTATTGCAATATGCACTACCTCTGGGACTCAATTTTTTATTTTTTTTCGTATTCATACATCTCGATGTTGAGATTATCAATTCGAGCGTTTTCAGTATTAAAACAACTTTTTTCAATGAATTTTTTAGGTGCATCTATAATTTTACATTTTAAGGTTGCAGCCTTATATAAACTTTTTCCATATTTAAAATTTAATTATATATTATTTAAGTATTATATAGTAAATCTTATTTATATATAGCACTGGGTCAGGTCTATATGGACCCATACCTGACCCCTCGAGTCCAATTTTTGAACCCATACCCAGACCAGGGTCGGGTTCGGATCCATTGCCACCCCTAGCTGCTAACTTCTTAATGGGCTTGAGATAGGAAATGTAATGACTTCTATGAATTGAGAATTTTTTTCCATAGATTGATTTCAACCGGCGTGAAAAATACTGTTTATTCAATCAATATAACAAAAACAATGATTATTGTTTACTATTGACGTTAGGAAAAGCATATAAAGATACACTTTACTTTTAATGCAAGGAGGTCACAATCATTATTGTTCATCATATTTCAAATTGGATGGTTGTGAGCATGTCACTAACCGAACTCAAAGTTAAAAAAAAAAAAATCTTAAAGTTTGTGACACACCCCAAGCTATCCAATTTGACATCTAATGAGTAATGACAATTGTGACCTATTTGTAACAAAAATAAATGGTCTCACGATATCAGCCCTTGATGTTGTCATGATTATTTATAATCATTATAAGGGGTGTTATTATAATTATTTATAATCATTATAAAAAAAAATACCATTTGCTTTTAGTGGTGGTAAACGAGTCCTTAAATAGACTTAACGTTTAAAAAAAAAAGATTCTCAAACCTTGTAAAAGCAAACATACAGTTTTCCTTCTCTAGATGCTTCTAGAGAAGGAGAATCCCTCAAAAACTGAGTGGACTCATGAGCAATTGTGGCACAATATTTGCATGCATTAGATGGTTAAGGCAGTAGAAGTAGAGTATAAATTAGAGGTTCATTGGAACTTTAGACATGAGGAAGCATAAGGAAGAAAGAGAGAAATAAGAGAGATAAGTGAGGAAGTGAGGGTGCAATGGAGTGGAGTGTAAGAAAATAAAGTGAGTTGTGTGATGAATTTTGGCTAGGGGAATTCCTAGGTGCACATAACTTGAACCGTTAGGGACTATATGAGCTTAGTGATTCTCATTGTACCATAAAC